CCCCCCCCCCCCCCCCCCCAAAAGTCACTAAAAATGCTCGGTTAATACTTATACAAAGGGTTTTTTAAATTTTAATAATTTTAACGTTTTAACGCAATTAACAGCTCGGGGGTTTAACAACTGTATACGTAGTATAAAGGGTCACAGTCTCACAATTGTGACTAAACAAACATGGCCGCCTTTAATTTGATTTGACTACAGCTGACCTCTCCTCAGTCTCCACTCTGCTGTATTAGGGTTGCCTTTCATTTTGGTGTTTCAATTTCGAGTTAAGTCTTCATTTTCTTGTAAAAAATAATTTTTATTTCTATTTTCTGTGCAAACAAGATTAATTTTCTGGGTAAATGCCACTAAAATGCTCGACCAAATGCTAGCATAATGTACAAAAGCCTGTTGTGCTAACTGTCGATAATTTTACTGTGTTTCAAGCGGGTTGCTTTTCTTTGCAGGTGATAAGTTCCAGTGTATTTTATGTTTTGTTATATTTCTTTCATTTTCCCAATATGTAGCTAATTAATTCAATGAATTGCTTAGATATGTTTAAGAAGAGGAACGGTGTGTATCTGATACGTATACCCAAGCAAAACCTGTGAGCTTAAATTTCAAAAGTAAGATTTAAACCTGTAAATGGATTCAAAAGTTTCTTTCCAGAAACAAAGACCTCTGGTGTCTCTCACATTACTCAATTGACAACCTGCTTTGCTTTCTTGTTTCCAAGGCAAGTTTCAATAAATAATCACCTGAAAGTAATAGACTTCAATCTTTCCAATGTTTCACTATGGTCAAGAAAAACTACAGCTCGAGGTTTAACTTTCGAATGGAAACCGATAAATAATTGTTAAAGGAAATGTTATCGAAACCTGTGTGGAGTGCAGGGGCAAATGCAAGGGAACGACAGCTCACATGACACTTCAAAAGGTGCGAAGAATACTTAAACTTTTCACCGTTTGCGTTGTCGTCAACAAAGATTGTTTAATGTTTATCTAAGACAAAATGCCTGTTTATGCGCCTCCAAAGCGCTATGTATTGTCTGGAATGATTTTTATTGGCTTTTTTGCGATGTCTGGTTTGAGAGTAAACTTGAATGTCGCTATCGGCGCAATGGTCAACAATCACACCGCCGTAGTGGACGGAGAGACTATCTGTAGGGTAAGTTAAATTACTGTATAACAAAAACAAGATATAAAACTGTTTTTAGAATTATATTTCGCGTATAACCCTCGATGGGAATATTAAAATCAGTATATAAGATGGAATAATTGCAATTTTTAAACCGATATAAAACGTTACTGACCATTCATTAGTATTATGTAACGCAATTTTTTTTTTTATTGGGCATTTAAGGTTACAACTCTCTAGGGCATAGCTTTTTTGATATTTTCTACTCCCAGATAACAACAACAACAACAACAACAAAACAAAACAAAACAAAACAAAACAAAACAAAACAAAAACAGAGCATTAAGAGAAAAATTTCGAAGCGCTTCATGACATTTGAAGACGTAAGAGCATTTTATACCTGCTGGAAATAGCTGCCTGTCGCTGCTTAACGTTTTTTTCTTTTTTTATACGCCGCCGGTTTCAAAAATGTCTAAAAGGTTCGAAGCAGGAAACTTCTGAAACATTCCAGTATTTAACAACAACATTTTGTTTACTTTAATGAATTCAAAGGAAATTTCAGCAAAATTTGATTCTGTATTAAGTTCTCCTGCAGAGTAATTGGTTTCCATGACAACCATCAAAGGATTTTTAAGGGAGGCTTGGGGAGTTCATTACCTGGATTTTATAGATAAAATGGCATAGCCATCATTTTTTGTTGAGTTTAATAAAAGAAAATGAATATCATAGATACTAGACGAAGAAGCTTCCTTGCACAGAGTGGAGCACACAGAGAGAACAAACTCAAAATCCAAGCGAAGCAACAAAAAACACAACAACAGCAGTGAGAAATTTAAATACAGCTGCTCGTGAATGAGGCTTAGCAAATTGCAGAGAGACTTCTTTTTTTATATAAATGCGATGATTTATGCAATCGACACCTTAAAGACGTTTTTACATTTCTCAGTTGAATGCATTTATATATAAACATTTGGTTTATGATTTTATCTACAGGAACCAGAATTTAAATGGGAGCCTGAGCTAAAAGGTTAGAAACCATCAACTTAAGTAACATCAAAGAAGAAAATAATTAAATTGAAATTGATAATTAATTGATGCTTATAAACAACACGCGCTACATTGATCTGGGACCGTGTGAGGTACGATATCCCTCTACAATTTCCAGATGCGACTTGGTAGCAGCGTAGCTTGGTGACAGGTGTCTGCAGTCATTCGGTGACCGTGTATTTTGTGTAAATTAAGAACATTATGTTTTTTTTTAGGTGTGATTCTTGGTGCATTCTATTACGGCTACATGGTGTTCCAAATCCCTGGGGGCTGGTTGGCGTTACGAGTGGGCGGGGCTCGTCTTTTCGGAGCAGCAGTCCTTGCTGCATCAGTACTCACTTTGTTAACCCCAGCGGCTGCTCGCTGGAGTCCTGCTGCTCTTATTGTGTTGAGAATATTAGAAGGCCTCGCGCTGGTAAGCTCATTAGACAGTACACTTAAACCGGTGTTACCCACTGAGGTAAATAGGGGGAGAAATTTACTGTCGTGGCACAGTCGTGGGATAAACATCTTCTGCGTCCATCAGCTTCATAAATAGACCTCCCAGATTCCAACAAAAAATGGCGCCGAGTCGAGGTCAGGATGGACAAAAATAAGAAAATGTATGGAAATGTCCGCCGCAACCTCGCTCTGGTTACTATTGTTCGTACGCACTGAAGTGGAATAGGAGAAGGGTGTATTTGATCTAGCCGATAAATTCTCTAGTCGAGAGAGGAGAGAGTACTAGCTAATCACAGTACATAGATATTTGCAGTGAAAATTTACTTGCATATAATTATTGTTGGCTCAATCTTCAGGATGGAATAGGATGGAAAAAAACCTGTGTGTTTCCGCAATGAGAAGAATGGTTGGTTTAGGATAAAGCCGTATAATGGCAAATAAAAGTGCAACTGAAAAAAATCAAAGCTCGATCGATAAAAGTCCAATTAACTTAAAGAAGATTGCAAATTAACATTTTTGGTATGCACTATTGTTAGGGTGTTTTATTTCCTTGTAACCACGCTATCTGGAGCCGATGGGCGCCATCTGCCGAGAGAACAACTCTGGTGACTGTTTCCATCACAGGTTTGTCTTTTTGTGTCTGTCCACAGTGGGCCGTCTATGTCACAAATACTAAACTATCGCCTGATCTCAGGATAATTGTATTAGTAGAGAGAAGTATTGTTTTTGGCTTCTGTTGAAAGCTTGATCAGTTCATTTGATAGTATAGTTCAGGATGAAACAGACACGATAAGAAATCAAAATATAATAATTACTAAATCACGATTGGAACAAAGGATTTGTGTACAAATTTATCGATCTAAGCCTAAATTTTGTTAAAAAAAAAGAAGCAGTAATAAGATTGACAGGGATGCATTCTAGTGTAATAATTTAAAGGCACGTTTCACCCTTAAAATGTCTCTCTATTACCATTTCTGTGTTACTCTTTTTCTCAGGAGGTAGCATCGGCTATTTACTCACTATGCCAGTTTCCGGTCTATTGACTAAATATGGCTTTGATGGAGGCTGGGCCTCTGTATTTTACTGCTTTGGTAAGAATTGCTGTTGCATTTATCACGTTGGCAAATTTTATTAGCTTTAATAACGCCGAATTTATACTAACCGATCATGAGGCCTCACAACTACCTATTCTAACACTTTGATTCGTTGTTAACTCGGGGTTTGATTATGTATGCATTGGGACACTGGACCCACAGGTAATTCAAGAAGGTACAGTCTATCATGGTTACATGAGGTAATTTTCCAACCTCATTCCCAGGGCTTTTCCCTTTCTCTAAGGGAAAAGCCTTGGGAACGAGGTTGCTAATTACCCATAAGGCAACAGCATGGCATGGCAGAGTGACCCGTTATTACCTTATTAGGTGTTTTCGGCATTGTGTGGTATGTTGTCTGGTTGATGGTCGTGTACGAGTCTCCTGCATTGCATCCCACGATATCAACTGAAGAACAAAGATTAATACAAGAAACAGCATTGGATCTATCCAAGGTAAATCCTGTGTTTACAAAAAGCGGACATTACTTTACAAGTATCCAAAATTTGGCAGTTTAAGAAGCAGTTAAAACTGAAGTATATCTGTCTTATACTGATTTTTTCTCGTATCTCAGGTGGACAAGATTATTATCCCTTGGAAATCTATTCTTTTGTCACCACCAGTGTGGGGAATAATTGCTGCCAACTTTGCTTTAGACTGGGCGTTTTATATTTTGCTGATATCAATGCCGACTTTTCTGATAGATGTCATGAAAACAACCATCACCAAGGTGAGATTATCAAAGGAGAGCTGGTTATTTTTTTGTAAAACCTGCTCCTTGTAGGGAGCTTAAGCAAACCCCAACGGCAACGGCAACGAGAACGTCACCAAAAGGTTTAAGGAGCAAGACAATAGCTATACACCTACGTTATAAATCTTTGTACATCTCGTAACGTTCTCTGCAAAAAAACAAAGTGAAATCATCAAATTTTGCATATTTTGAAGAACGCGAGCCACGACTGCTAATTTTTCGTTTTTCCTTTTCAGAATTGATCGCTCGCCTTGGACGCCCTGTGTAGACATAAGCCTAACAATAGATGATTAACTCTCTTTTTGCCTTTATTTTAAGATGGGTTTCTTAGCTGCAGCACCTTTTCTCGTCAAAGGGCTGTGTTCTCCATTGTCGGGATTAGCGGCAGATGTTCTTAGAAAGAGCAAAGTGTCAACCAAAAATGTTAGGAAAGTTTTTTATGCTGCAGGTAGGCCACCACATGTTTATGCCATTCTTAATGTCCGTCCGTCCGTCAGTCAGTCAGTCAATCGGACAGACAGACAGAGACAGACAGACAGACAAATAGACCGACAGACAGTCAGTCAGTTCGTAAGTGGAGCTGTCTGTTGGTCAATCGGTCGGTCAGTTGATCAGTGGTTGGATTGGTGGTCGGACAGTCAGTGAGTCGTTCTGCCTTCCTGTTAGATCTATCGTTGTGAGTCTGTCTATTGTCCTTGTTACCTCCAGCTTTGAAGGTGCAGTAAACTATAGAGCCGTTTTCAATTGATTATCATAAAACCAAACCCTATGCTTGTTCAATGTTATGACTTTGGGTAAACAGTAAGGACACAGACAATCCAATCAACCAATCAAAACTTGACCTAAGTAGCTGATGCAAAGCGCGGGGAAACGTGTGGGAGCGAGTTACAACTGGTTTTGGTTTTAATTCTTGCTGGATGATAGAGTGACGGGAGTTTTCTAAGCCAATCGTGTTTGCGTAGTAACACAAAACCAATTACGGTTAATTTTGAGACTTAAGTCAAAATGCTCGATCTCTTAGTATCAGGTCACAAAACTGCCCCATCACTGTTTATTCCTCCGTCTTATTTCTTAACAGGAGCTGTAGCAAGTGGATTTCTAGTTTTAATAGCAGGATACTCGCTAAACGTCACAATTGTCGTTATCTGCATGAGTCTTGCGGGAATGACTACGTCACTAGCCTTCCCAGCATACACTGTGAACATGCTGGACATTGCACCTCGCTACTCTAGTATCATCATGGGAGTGTGTAACACAGTTGGAACAACAGCTGGTTTTGTTAGTCCAACTATTGTGGGCTTTATCACCCAAGATAAGGTTGGTGCCTTAGCTTTAATTTACAAAAACATCCGGGTATTTTGCTTGAGAACTAGCCAAACAGACTTCTCTTTTCGCATGTTCTCTTGATGTCTGAGATAAGACCCGTGACGTAAGCTTGTGGAAATGCGTATACTAGTCTGATTGACAATTGGTCAGTTTTGATTTTCGCGCACGTGTAACAGCGAATAGAGGGACTAATTAAGCAATAGAGTACTTTTTCCGTCTTTACATAGCCTCATCTAAACACGAGGAGGGTTGGGAAATTCGAGACAGTTATGCAAACCCGAGACGTAGTCGAGGGCTTGCATAACTTTCGAGAATTCTCCCAAACCTTCGAGTGTTTAGATGAGTCTATGTAAACACGGAAAAAGTGCTCTTGACTATTGCTTTTATAAAATAATTCTCAAAAATACGCGCGAATCTAAACTTCTGTTGTGCGACTGTTTTAAATATATTCTCAAAAGAAACCATTTCTACCAACACCAAATGTCGAAAACAAATTTTGCAATTCATATCCGCACTTGAAAGTACTGATGAAATGAAACTGATAATGAAATTTTACCTGTGTTTGCACAATTTCTCTGAGCTTTGAAATTTATTTTCTCGAGTTTCCTTGCATGGGAAATTATTATTGGTGTTATTATAGGCAAATATTTATATCTGTAGCCTTTAGAAAGTGAAAAATGGACAGTAATACACTTAAAATTATTCTGTCCGGTAAAACCCGAAATTTCTGATTCTGATTTCGTATCAGATTTTGTCTGAAACTCTTCGAACCCATTAAATAACTGTTGGCCGTTTTCCTTGTCGCAGACTGCAGAAGAATGGCAGGGAGTATTCTGGCTGACTTTTGCAATATTAGTTGGTGGGACGGTCATCTTTTGTGTCTTGCTGTCGGGAGAACGTCAGGAATGGGACAAAGCTACTTCAAAACCCACTGATGATGCTATGGAATCACAATATGCTGCTGGCAGATAACAAATCACGAATAACGAATAACGAAACTACTTTTGCGTTACGCTACTACGCGCGCAGTCTCTACTTATGTACTATTGCCTCGAGTTTGACGACCTGAAAAGACATTTTGGTTTCACGAAAACCATCAGTGATGGTTTGATTTGTAGAACAGTAATTTACAAATGAAAAGAACCAATTTTGGAAATGGAGGCCAACTCACTGTTTCCCGTTGAGCCAGTCATTAAGTGTTTTGTTATGCATCCCGGCTCAAAAATAGAAAAAAAAATACGAACAAGGTGTTGCTTTATGCCTGCTGGTACACAATTTGCTGCGCTTTCAAGGTGCACGACCTTATCACGGGCGAGTGGAAACTTCAACTTGTTGTTTTTGCTGGGGAGTTAGTGAGTTTTGACCCATAACACGTGATACGTTTTTCTCCATTCAGAAAACGTATTTGACTTGGGAGGTATAAAATTTCGCATAGCAAGTCAACATTTTAAAGAAAATTGCTGTTATCAAACGAATGTAAGTTGTAATAAATAAAAACCTTGCCTTCTCTTTAAAAGCTAGCAAAAGGAATCGCTGAGTCTCGAGAAAGCGTTATTATTCTAGGTTATTTTCCCCAAAGCATTTTTTTTTATATAATTACAACAAGCTTAATCACATAAGGTCGAGAAAAGCGCGAAATTTGAAATAAGTATATAAGGCCTTTTATTCAAATTCAAGGACATTTGGTGCTTTATTATGTCATATTAAAAAAAAAAAGCCACTGCTACCTGTTACGGTCGGAAATTAATTAGCATATCTTCCGCGAAGTTTTATATTAAAAGATTGCTATCGTTCATGATTGTTAATTGTTATAAATTCGGTTACATTGTCGTTTCCACTGCTCTATCAAGACGAAACTTTCATTTAGTTACTGATACTATCGAAAATAGATCCTTTTCCTTGCTTTGCTATTGAAACGTGATAAACTGATATTTAATTTATAAGTTTAACACTGCTTTCGCTCAACAAGAAACGCACCTCTAATGTAGGTATGTGTCTTGTTTGTGTCTCCGATCATGAGAAATTTTATGTTATTTTATCTCAACGTTCCTTTGCAACAGTCATCGAAAATTCAGCACTGTAAAAGCAAGAGACAGATTTTAACACGCTTAGACTGATAGAAATTGTTTATATCTAGAAACGGTGGGTTGTGATATTCGTAAATACTATTACAGCAAAAGTATCGCAGTTATGAACACAAGTAGAGCAGTTGTGAAATTTAAGTTCTTAAAAATATTCAGGCTTGAACG